ACACTTCGTGCCTGATGAAAACGCAGGACAGGCGGACACCCTTGCGCGGGGCTTTAGTGTTCATGCCACGCGACGATAGAAGAACGTCGTTAGCAAGCATTGAGGCAATCTCCGATGTGCGTATGACCACACTTGCAAAGCGTGCTGTTTGGTCAACCCCCGACGAGCGTCGTCTTGCCGTCGGAATGAGGTTGCAGGAGGGGCAGCCAGTATCGGCGACGGACGTCGCCGTCCGGAGACGGACCTTAACACTGGCGCCACGCACTAAATATGTACAGGGTTTTGGCAGAGGGACGCCCCTGCCCCCAAGCCAAGGGGGGAACAGAGATGAACGTCCACGCAGACTAGGCGACAGAGAATGTCCCCAGAGCAAAGAGGGAGTTTCCATACAACAAAGGACAAAAGGAAGAAAGGTAACAAGCAGAGAGCATGAACATGGAACAATTATGGGCAAAAGGATGTATATTCCTCGGCTCTAACGGCCGGATATTACAGAAGTTAGAATAGAAAAATACAGTTTACATTACACAAAGAAAGGGGATCCTGGCCGGCTGCCTCCCGGAGTCTGCTCCTCCTCCTCGGCCTCGGGCTCAGGGGTGGGGGGTTCCGGAACCTCCCCTCTGGCCTTTGCTTCCGCCCGCCGTTGGTCCCTCGCTAGCTTCCCTAAAGCCTGGAGCAGCAGATCGTCGTCTGTATGCGCTGCCAGCTCGAAGTCAGCCCCCTGCAGCCTCGAAAAGATGGGGAGGGTGGCCTTAACCCCTTCGTTATACCCGGCTGAGAAGGTGCTGTCGCCGACCTCGTACAGGAACTTGCGGGACAGAGGAGAACCCTCAAGTAGCCGGACGCCGCGGGCCAGACGCTGGCGGGGCGGTATCTTCTCCAGAGCAGCGGCAAACAAGTCGGCGAAGACTCCGGCACAATAGTCTTTGGCAGAGTCCATGAACTCCCCAGTGTTCCTGTAGCCGGAGGTGTCGACCAACCACTCCGGAGTGGTGTCCTTGGCGGCAGGAAGCACCGGAACAAGCTTGAAACCGGCTCTTTCAAGGCCGGCCAACTGGCTGCGGGATTCAGCCTGCAGGGCTGCAATCTCCCTCCCCTTGGCTGCAGCCTCCGCCTCAGATCGACGGGCGGCCTCCCGAGCCGCAGCAATGGCCGCATCGGCTTTAGCCTTGGCCCCCATCAGATCGGCCTCCCGGGCAGCTTCAGCTTGAAGGACAAGGAGCCCAGACTGGACGACAGAAGAAAAAATAAGGATCAAGGGATGAACGTCAGGGAAAAAATATATGTGCTCAGATCTAGCAAGGAGGAATTACCTGAAGAGCGGCTGCCAGCGCAGCGCTTGTCGCCTCGGACGACGAACGGCGGGGGCAGCTCGAGACCGGCCTTGAGGGCCATCTCCCTCCAAAGTTCTTCCGCCGGGCGGCTCAAAGGCAGGGACCCGGCATCTTCAAACAGGGGGCCAGTGGAGCCTGCCTCGCGGCCCCGCTTCTGTTTCTTCTCAGGGACCTTCTCTGTCCCCTTCTGAGGAGCCGTCTTCGTGGGGACGACCGGCGGCGGAAGGGCGGCTTCGAGAGCAGGGGCCCCGGAACCCTGGGCCAGCATAGTGGCGATTAAATGTTGCTCACCCTCGGCGGTTCGCCTGGCAGCATCAGAGGCCGAGGAGTTGGACTCCGAGGCGGGGGCATTTTTGGCTTTCGCCATCGCAGCTTTAGCCGCGGCCCGCCTTGGCTTTCCTGGTCTTCAGACACTCGGCGTGATTCATTTGGTCTCTATCGGGCGGTGGACCTGCAAGAAACAACAAGGATTAGAAGCCGAGCGGGAAGTAAAATAAGACACTCACCTCGAAGGACAGGACCGCCCGGGCCCCGAGACGAGCGTCGAAGGGTAGAAAAAGTCCAGGAACACGGGCGGTACCTATGCCTGCCCCAGAGAGTGCCTCGAAGGTCAGAAATCCGGCTATGGGACGGACGCCACCCTCCGACACCTTCTCCGCATCCAAAAGCAGATCGTCGGTCGGCTCCGGTGACTCAATCTTTGGGGGATACCCATTCCACCGGAGAGGGAGGGGAGGCCCGTCGTATCGAAGGAAGAAGAAGCGGTTCTTCCAGTCGTGGATGGACGAGGGGTAGTTCTTGAACAGCCGCCTCCCAGGACGTGCGGCCACGCTCAGATACCCGTCGGCATTCTGAGGAGTGACGCGGTAGAAATAATGGAAGAGCTCCAAAGTGGCATCGACCCCCGCGAGTTTACAGCGCACCAAGAAGGCCGATATGAATCTGTAAGAATTTGGCATGAATTGCGCCGGAGCCACCTGGAAGCAGTGGAAGAACTCCACATAAAACGTATGAAGTGGAAACCGCAGCCCGGCTTCAACGGAATCCAGGTGGAGCATGATCATCCCCGGACGTCTCCTCATCACATGCTCAGCGCCTTTCACGCTCCAGACGAACGGCGGAGGAAGGAAGGTGCGGATTTTATTGAGGGCCACACGGGAGAGGACTTGGTCGTGGTCAAGGGCGCTCCTAATCGGGCAGATGTGACGCTCCATATCCGTGGGGATGCCCAGATCATACACCTCCATATCAGAACCGGATTCGGCTTCCTCTCCAGAATCATAATCAGCAGGACGCTCATTCAGGGGGACCGCATCAATAACGTCCACTGCCTCATCGGCATCCCCACCCCTGGCGTCGCTCCTACTATCTTGGGACACATCATCCGGCCCGCCATCAGCCCGGATGGTCCCCACCGTCGTGGCCGAACCAGAGGTTCCGGAAACACTAGTTTTTCCCAGGGAGCGTGCATTAGCATTTTCAGAAGAGGAGCCCGAGGAGGAACCCGACGAACCGGAATCAGAACTTGAGGAAATCTCCATCGAAGTCATTCCGGCTAGAAATCAGAGTAAAGGGAAGAAGCAGAGGGGGGAAATTACCTTACAAAGGTATGGTTGGCCGAATTCAGGAAACTTGAAGAGCTGCGGAATATCGAGAGCAAGAGAGCAGAAATTGGGAACCCTAATTCAGAGGGCAAACCCAGCATTTATAGGGGAAACACCGATGGGGAAACCAACGAGGGGCTGACACGTGGCAAGGAGCGTATTCCGGCCCACGCGCTGTGCGTGGGATGGGAACGTAATGATGACACTTCCTCGGGAAAATGCGCCGCCGCAACATCAGCCGTCACCTCGTTTCCTGAACCGTCAACAGCTGTCAAGCACCATGGCCACGAGCGTACTTTTCCACCAAGATGCAATGAACACAAGTGCCAAGATACGGACGTCTACTTCGGGGAGGCTCATACTTCCTTATGTCCTGCGCATGCTCAGAACATCAGAAGTGGGGGACTTGTGTTGGGTTAAGGGCCCAAGCCGAGGTCCGGCCCACTAACCCATTTTGCCAGACGAGCGTCCAGCTAGAAACTAGGCCAGCACACAGGCCCATGTTCTTTAAGGATGGACGAACGTCTGGTGTTGGAGGACTCAGGCCCAGCAGCTCATTACGACGAACGTCTATGCAGGGACAAGGAGCAGAGCCACGGGCCACCAGGGATGGCGACGAACGTCCCCAGAGCACGCATGTAGTCATCGGAGAAAACCCAGTGCACATGGTGAGTATCTATCAAGGCCAGGAGACGAACGGCCAATATCCCTCAAGGGTCACTTGGAGCAATCCAACTCACTTCCCGGGTGGACGAACATCCCCACTGATCCGGCGGGAAACCTAGATTCTGGCGGGAAGTGCATTTAATGCTAAAGATTCGGTAGTTGGGACACCAGCGGTCCACAGGCTGCCACGTCAGTACAGCTACCTGCCCATTGGCGGGTATAAATAGAAGCATTTATTTCATTGTAAAGGGTGGGCAACTTTCTATTCTTAGCATATTAGCTTCAGCACTCTTACTTGCAGCCTTTCTAAGTGCCTTGTAAGACGAACGGCCGACGTGCCTTATTAGCAAGTAGATTGTATTTAGGGGAGTTATTACGAAGTTAATAATACCTACTTACATTGCCTGCTATCACTTTTGTTTCCTGATCCATCTCATAGTTGTTAGGCTAGATATCCTTATACTTACTCCATTCGAAATCTTTGGGCTTACGTGTTGGGTCCAAGGGTTGAAGGAATAAACATCAACAGGAAGAATTAATATTCAAGGAAGAAGATTAAAGAGAATAACTCACAACTTACAAATTCATTAAGCTTCAAAGTAGCAAAACCAAGATGGAAGAGTTTAGCTCCTCATTTGGAGACTAAACATGATAGAAAATATAAAGAAAACACTAATCTAAACTGAGCTAAAGAGTATATGTGAATTGGTTTCCTTAATGTGAAGGAAAAGGGGTGTATTTATAGCAAAATAGAGGTGGCAGGGTTCGGTACTCGATCCAGTATTGGCAATACTGGACCGAGTATGAGAGGAAATTTCCAGGAAATTGTGAAAAATAGGCATACTCGACCGAGTATTGCCAATATATACTCGACCGAGTATGCGACAGGATTTTCATCAAATATTCAGCCACGTTCTTTTGCTCCCAGATTTGATTTTGACCAGCGTATCAGGCCAATACTCGACCGAGTATTGGCAATACTCGACCGAGTATTGAACAAATTTCAAAATCCTCATTTGATCTTCTTCTTTTTGCACATTCTTTGGTCTTTAGGATCCATCCTTTGATTCTTGGGATGATTTTGACCTGTCCTAAGCTCAATAAAATCCTAATCTAAATAAATTACAAATAATTAATGAAAATAAAGTATTACACCAAAAGTGTGTAATTTCTACAACTAGAACTAATAAAACTAGTTAAAATACAAACATACATAATAGGAAATTCACCCTATCACTAACCGTAAGTCGATTGTGATGTGAGTAGGACTCGATGAATCAATACTCCCAAAATGGTAAAAAGTTTGAAGATTATCATTGAAACTTAAGCAATGTCAAACCATCAAAGTTCAGGCATAAAACAAAAAGCTTTTGGAAGGGAAAAGAAAATGGGGGTGGGATAACAGAATAATGGTTTGCCTTCACCGGCCTCCATAGCAGAAGCGACATCATCTAACGCCATCCAGACCTCGAGAGGAATGCAGATGGCTAAGACACATCAGCTCGAGGAATGTGTGGCCTGACCGGTGTCTTTGAAGGACTCACCCTGCAATATTGCCAAATTTTAGTCACGTCAGTTTAGAAGGTATATAATCGATCTGTTGTAATAAATGAGATAGGGAGTATGATACACGGAGTACTGCATTTTCACATCACATGATGAAGATGATAAATGGATCCGCCCCTTACTGTTTTATTACCAAGAGGGAAAGGGTAGGACAATTAGTACAAATAATAAGGTGCCTGGATGTCTCAGATATAGTTTTGAGAGGAAAACACAAAAGTTGTTGCCAAAATATGGATCATGTCGTCTTAGACTGTTTTAGTCTGATGATTGGTTTGATTTGGCAGCACATGAAGAGAACAAGTCCTAACTCCTAAGTGGAACTAAGTGAGCGGGAACGATAAAAGAAGAAAAGAATGCATTGCTAAGGTAATGAACTACATTTACTTTGAATAGATGAAAAACCAGTGGGAAAAAAACCATACCTAATGCCTTGCGATCCCAAAATTTCACCGCAACAGTCCAAAGCTATAATCGCACTTTCCGCCTGCACCCCAAGTGTTATTGGTCTTTATGAGCACATGGTTTAAATCTAATGCATGCAGAATAGGTTTAATCAGCTATGTTGCAAAGCAAAGTGAGAAACATGAAATGAGAAAAATCATCTTTTAATAGAAACACAACTATTTGGAGAGTTTCTTATGAGTTTACGTAAAGTATGTGAAATGAAAACATACTCTTTTCCATGAGTTTCCATGTTTTAATAGATAATCAGTTCAACCAAGATTTTTTTTGTTCAGCAACTAATTTTCAGCAACGGATAATTATACGGGGCAGCGGCGGATTTTCATCATAAAGATTCGACCATTTTAACATATCAAACTAAAATAAACATGGATTCAGTTCAAGCAGATTTGGATTAAACTTAGCTTAACAAATATATTAGCATTTATACCACGCATGAATCATTGGTGCGGTTAGATGCGCTTACTTGGCAAATCCAACTCCGTTATTCCATTCTTAGAAATATAAAAGGAAAATGTATAAAGAATGTTTTCTTAAGCATGTAGTACACATAAGAAGTCAGCATACATGAAGCTGCATACTTATTAAGCAAATGAATATGTACTTATGGAGTTGTAAATACTGATGCATTTAGAAGCCACAATAAAAATTAATCCCTTTTGAGGGGCGTTGTCAAAGTATAGTAAGTAGAAACCCTAGAATTTATTATATGAGACTTAAGACCCCTTATTTTTCTATACAAGTACTGTACTTCGTATTAGTCTTCAGAAGCTATCAATTTGTAAACTCAAAGCTATATCAATAAAAAAGGAAAGTTCCCGAAATAGGACTAAAACAGTTTGAAAATTCCAAAATAGGACTGTCATGTTTTTTATTCCCAAAATAGGACTAATTACTGCCATGTTTGAAGTCTGGTACTGCCAAAACATGGCAGTAATTAATCCTATTTTGGGAATAAAAACATGTCAGTCATATTTTGGATTTTTCAAACCTTTTTAGTCCTATTTTGGGTAAATTCTCTAAAAAAAATTGTATTGATTCTAGGGCTGAGCACAGGTAGAAGACTAGACTAGCCAGAGGGACCGGGACCAGAATCTCCAAAACTATTGGACCAAAAACCAGACCGGTATAAATTTGATCTCAGACTAGACCGGAATTCGAGGTATGAGTGTGTGACCGGATCTGACTGGTGTTCGACTGGGAAAATATTCTTTATTTAGATGAATTTGGTATCTGTTAATCTTTGTAAAAAATATGTAAATAAATTTAATCAAAAATCAGAATTAACGCTTCAAATACGGTTATCACTAAAACACTAACTATATGTTAGATGATAGAATATTAAAATAATAATATTTTTAATCCCTGTCGGTAATTCTAGCTTTGGACCAATCAGAACAAGAATCTTTAAAACCCTTGGACCAAAAACCAGACCGGTAGATAATCAGTCCGGGTCAGATCGGGACTTGCCGGTTCAGTTTTTCAGTCAGGATTGGAATGCGTTCTGTCATACTTTTGATATTCAACATCAACCAACATAAATAGTAGTATTAACTATTGAAGACGCATAAGAATACACATACCATGACAAACTCAACAAAAGCAATTCGGGTTGAGTGCACTTGATCACCCAAAAGCCTTATCCGAGAGACCTGAAGAACAATCATAGTGTATTAGCAACTGAAATAACACACAGAACACTTTGGAGCATCAGAACATTACTCACCGCACCACATCTTGTTTCAAAGAAGTATTTCACATCAGCTTGGGTAAGCTATACATCAGAAAGCAAGTCCATGTTAGTATGACAGAAAAACATCTCAGAATTTTCTTTCATACTAATAGAATGGTTAAGTTAAGCACAGAAGGGTACACTGTCGAGATATAGAAAGTTAATACCTTTTTATCTATATTTGTACAATAAACTGTCCTAGCACACATCTCACGTTCATCCTCAGACTACATAAAGGAACATGCAAAACCAACGTGGACAACAAATCCACATGACAATAAAAAGGTTAAGAAAATGATATAAGAGGAAAATAATAATTTTCTAGTATCCACTACTAACATAAAAGAGCATCATACCCTTGGAAGGAACGTGGGGTTCACAGGAAGGATTGCAGTTTTTGAGGGCAGGACATTCAGTGGCGAGAAACCTAAGATTGTTCCAGAGATGTTAAGTGCTCCTCTTGCAGAATCTGTTGAAAATTTTTTCAGAAGCATATTAGATTACACAGAGTTTTGCCAAATTTTGAAAGGCAAGCTCTAGCAATGGCCAATAGAGAAAGATTTAGGGAACTAACATTCATGATAGAACTCCACAAAAGCAAATCGGAGACGGGAGTGAGGGTCGCCACATATGCGACAGTCAACAACCTGAAAAAAGCCACAACCTGAAGTTTCATCACTAGAACAAAGGTTTCGCTCAAAGAGCATTAAGGAAATAACTTTCAACATAGATATAATTCCATAAGTGTGTGTTTTGGGATATAGAAATCAAGCCTCAATTTCAACCCTCTTCTTTCTCTTCAAAATCAAAGGATGGTTCACTTACTTCACTATTCATTAGAAAGTTTGCCTTTGTCCTACTTATAAAATATAACAAGTTACTTTGTGTATGTTTTGAATATTCTAATTGTAAACTCCCAAACATCATAAAGTTATTTCCCTCCAAAGCCAACAATACAAACAGTAATAAAAATTATTTACTTTCCTTTCTTATTTTACCTCAATCAAAACATACAAGAGGGTTATAAACTTATAACAGGAAAATAAATTCATTTCTCCTAAATTCATTTCTCTTTCATACATCTCTCTCCTCTCGAACTTGATTAAAATCTCAGTTGCAAGTCAGGGTATGATGGCGTGAATTTCCTATTATGTATGTTTGTATTTTTAACTAGTTTTATTAGTTTTAGTTGTGGAAATTACGCATTTTTGGTGTAATACTTTATTTTCATTAATTATTTGTAAATTAATTAGATTAGGATTATTCTGAGCTTAGGACAGGTCAAAATCATCCCAAGAATCAAAGGATGGATCCTAAAGACCAAAGAATGTGCAAAAGGGAGAAGATCAAATGAAGATTTTGATATTTGTTCAATATTCGGTCGAGTATTGCCAATACTCGGTCGAGTATTGGTCAGATACGCTGGTCAAAATCAAATCTGGGAGCAAAAGAACGTGGCTGAATATTTGATGAAAATCCTGTCATACTCGGTCGAGTATTGGCAATACTCGATCGAGTATGCCTATTTTTCACAATTTCCTGGAAATTTCCTCTCATACTCGGTCCAGTATCCCCAATATTGGATCGAGTACAGAACCCTGCCACCTCCATTTTGCTATAAATACACCCCCTTTCCTTCACATTAAAAGAACTCCTTCTTCCATACTCTTAAGCTCAGTTTAGAATAGTATTTCTTTTATATTTTTATAGCATGTTTAGTCTCCAAATGACGAGCTAAATTTCTTTTTCTTGGTGTTGCGCTTGAAGCTTGTTGATTATTAAAGTTGTGAGTTATTTTCTTAACTTCTTTCCTTGAATATTAATTCTTCCTTTAAATACTATTTCTATATCAATGTTGGGGAGTGTTACTAAGATGACAATTAGTTAACATCTTGACATTAGTTATAGTAATAGTTATTTCTTCTTCTATGTTAATATTGGGGAGTGTTACTAAGATGACAATTAGTTAACATCTTGATATTAACCATAGTAGGATTCATCTTCTATAATATTCTTCCTTGAGTATTAATTAATTCTTATTCATATTTCATATTAATATTTTTGAACATTACTTAAAGGATCAACTAGTTTTGTTTCATATATTAATTATTACTAGAATCGATCAACGAACCGATGGTTAATCGTTGATGGTTTCACAAGTAACTTCGGTTTATTAATGCACGGTCGTGGTTAATAAACTTAAGAGGGATTAATTTTGTTGGTTAAACCGAAACCGTTGTGTTGAGGTTATCAATCTCAATTGATTTCATCAAGGAGTTAAGAGATTAAATGCTACTATCAAGTCGGTATATGGCGGTGTTCTATATTTGACTAATAGTAAGGGTTATTAATGAACGGTCGTTGTTAATAACTACCCTCGATGAATTGGATATACTGCTCGATTGAGTATTCGAGAGGGGATAAGTTATAGATATAGCAATGATCGACTAAAATATATCAACAAGTGGAAAGTAGCAATGCCAAGTCCTTTTTATCTTTGAATTAAATCACATATAAGTCGTTCATCTTCGTATTTAATTAAATTTAATCACTCAATCAAAACCCCCCTTTTATTTACTAGTTTTATAAAAAGAGAATTATTCTCTTCCCTGTGGATACGAACTCTAATATGCTATACTACGTATTAGTGCTAGTATTGAATTTATTTTGACGCACCGTGACAAAGTGCTCGTCAGGGTACATAAGACCCAAGCGGCTAAGCCATCTACAATGCAGACTATCATGTTGCCTTTAACAATACAAAACATATCTTCACCAACACACAAATAATAATGGTGATGTTTCCTCAAATCTAAATGCACTCCTAAAAACTAACAGCAAGGTATTTAGTTTACAATGGGCAGATAAAATTCCATTCCATAAGATAAAAAAATACAAAGCAACCACCACATGTATATGGTATATGATATGATGAAGATTGATGTTATAGGAGTGAAGTTACTTACTCGGCCATAGGCACTAAAAAGTGCAGCTAGTTGTTCTTCAGTGATCTAAGTAACAGTCGAAAGAAAAATACATATGAAATGGCATATATTGCAATACTCATGTTATGAATAGCGTTGAATGGAAAATGATACACATGCTTACATTTTGATCAATGTCAGTTACATAAACCGTTCGTTTGATGCTATCTTCTCTTTGAGCATTGAAACCCCTGCTATTCATTCTCTTCCTACCATTGTTATTGTTGTTTCTTCTCTGTGTAAGCAAAGAAATTTAATATAAAAGATAAAGACGACCAGTACAAACAGAATCCCAAGAAATAGTTAGCAACTACATAAAGCATCTCTGAGGGGAAAATGTCTAAACTGAAAATCAAGGATCCAAGGAAAGCAATAGGATCACTTTCATGGAAATAATCAAATAATCAAAGAAAATAGACCCACAAAACAAATTGGAAAAGAATCCATCAAACATAACTCTATAGACATCGAATTCTAAACATATAAAACCTTGAGGAATACAAAATTACCAAAATAGAAGAAAAAGAATGAAAATGAGATTTTGATAAGTCCTTACTGATGCAAACAATAAACAGAACATAACAACACCAACACCAACACTAACATCCAATCCTTATTCCCAAAAGAAAAAACAGAACAGAAAAGACAACTAAATCAGCATGGAGAAATGAGCCTATACCCTTCGGTTATTCGGGAAACCATGAGACTGACGCCTGTTGTTTGCCCGAAAATGATTGGCCATCCTAAGCTCTCGGTTATAGGAAGAAGGAAAGAACTCCCTCGCATGTGGATTCAACTTTAGTGTCTTTAGCATATCAACGATATCCTGCATTTCATATCCCGAATTTGAGTTCGAGTTTGAGTGTGTGTCACAATCAGACTCCTTATCACCAGTTGTCTCAAATTTCACATTGGTGCTATGATCAGAGCCAGAATCAGAAACTTTGTTCGAACCAGCACTTGAATTAGTTAAAGGAGAAGAATTCTCAACAGCAGGGGCCTTAACCAGTGTTGTCTCACCAGAAATCTCGGCACCAGGAGCCATTGAATCAAACTCAACTGAGGACCCAACACACAAGAAGATTTTTTTAATCAATCAAGACAGAGACCCTTTCCTAAATTCCTCCAAAGATTTAACCTTTGCCCCTATATATACAGATACCATAGGTCAATCGGGTGATCTCTAAATATAGGAAATTATGGGTATAGATCCTCACACACCAAAATTCATATAGAAGGCTATAAATAGAGGCTTATTAAGGAAAAATTATAAAGTGGTGAAATAAATGAGATGTATGAGGGAGAAGGTGGTTGAGTGTTAACGAGAGAGAGAGGGTGTGTGTGTGTATAAGGAGGAGTAGGATAGAGACTGAAACTCTAGGGTTTAGACAACAAAAATGATCATCACAGATGTTGGTGGATTGTGGTGATCGATAGTTTCTGAAAAATACAAAGAGATCGACTGGCATTTTCCCTTTTCGTCTACTCCTCCCCTTAATTGATACCATTGTTCTTCATCATTTCCATTGTTGTTGGGAGTGCGTGCAATTTGTGTACTGTATTATGTGTACGTAGGGTGAGAGAGAGTAGGCGAGTATAAAGGGTCTTTAACGTCTTCTTTGAGTGGCGAGTAGAAGAGGTAGCTATTGCAGTTTAAAAATCTTGTTTGTCAAACTCCAAAGATGATATGATTGGCTTTTTTCAAGTAATAATAAAATATTTTGTTTTTGTACAAAAACAAAATGAAAAATCCATTGCACGTATATGTTTGTGAGCTGATCTTTATGGTTTTACTTTAGATAACAAGCAAAACCATAAAAAACCCAAAGTTTTATGGATAAATTATTACTCCTTATAATACAAACAAAATGAAAAATCCATTGCACATATATCTTTGTGATCTGATCTTCATGGTTTTACTTTAGATAACAAGCAAAACCATAAAAAACCCAAAGTTTTATGGATAAATAATTACTTCTTATAATACAAACAAAATGAAAAATCCATTGCACAAATATCTTTGTGAGCTGATCTTTATGGTTTTACTTTAGATAACAAGCAAAACCATAAAAAACCCAAAGTTTTATGGATAAATTATTACTCCTTATAATACAAACAAAATGAAAAATCCATTGCACATATATCTTTGTGATCTGATCTTCATGGTTTTACTTTAGATAACAAGCAAAACCATAAAAAACCCAAAGTTTTATGGATAAATAATTACTTCTTATAATACAAACAAAATGAAAAATCCATTGCACAAATATCTTTGTGATCTGATCTTTATGGTTTTACTTTAGATAACAAGCAAAACCATAAAAAACCCAAAGTTTTATGGATAAATAATTACTCCTTATAATACATTCATTTAAACCAACCTCCACCTAAATAAATTTTAATTGTATTTACACGGATTAACATGATACTTATAATTCACACAGATTAATATAATAATACTTATAACACACAGATAAACACAATGGGTTATTCTTGATGTAACCCAAATTTGTACATAAATTGTACATTGTTTGTGTACACATGCATTTATATGATATAAAATTCTGCCTATTTTCAAACGAATTGTCTGTGCACACAGACAGATAGGGACATGTGTACAATTTGTGTACACATCTGGGATACACCTAGTATTTTTGTAACATATAATACACACTCTACTCTAAGATAATAACTTGAGTTAGGTGACTTTGTTTTTGTTTGCCAATAAATGTTTTTGTGTTTAATGATGAACATATGTCTAAATAAAAAGGCACTGGTGATAGAGTATAATTCTAGATAGAGGTGAGAGGTAGAAAGAAAAAGTTCTTTGCATTCAATGTTTTTCAAGCCTTTACATTTACCCCATAGGGGGGATTTGGGTTGAGCTCCCAGGTTTGGGCATGGGTGGCCCAATTACAATGATGGGTCATTCAAAAGGCTGCTTATATGAAGTTATTCTAATAAGTACAATGTGAAATCTATCTTCTAAAAACTCTAGCCGAGGTGGCCAGGATGAGGCCTCTAGGCTAAGAAGGCTAAACCGCAGTGACTGTTCTTGAGTTGAGTTGTTAGATCCATTGTAGTCTTGTTTGCATATTCATGGATATGTGGACAATGGGTCTAGGCTCATGTACTCTATCAAGTGAGAACACTTGTGATTTTTTATACTTTAATAATTATAATATTAATTTTTGTGATCATGATTATGTTCAATATAACATAATAGAGACCGTGAATGCATACCTGGAGTAAATCATCGTGATGGTGTAGTAGCTAAGCAAGACATCGGGAGTAAGACTTCATTGATCTCTTTCATGCGGTAATGGAAAAATATATTTCTTCGTATCACTTGAAATTCATGGTCATTATCTAGATCTTTGTATTCTTCCTATTTCAAATATGTCAAGCAGTAGATGACTGACATAGTCGTGTCCTTGTGTACTCAAGTCATGGTAGTTCTCAATTTAGCTATTTTATCCAAATCGGTGACAATAAGGCATTGAGCTCAATGGATTTGGTGACAGCACTGAAAAAGAGGGTTTGGATAAAAAGTTAGAGTAAATCCCTCATCATTTTTCATTATAAAATGTGATGACCTAATCGTGCATACGTGAAACTTTAACATTCAACAGTTAAATCCTAATGAGGACCATAAAGTAATTTTGTGATGCATTTTGTATATTTATGTGATGTGCATTGTAACATTTAATTTCAGATATGGTGCATGGTTTAGGCTGGTGCAAAAAATTACACTACAATGTATACAATTATGTACATTTCCTATTAAGTGATATAACTATATATCTTAACACATTTAATTACCTAATACTACAATGTTTCTCAAAAAAAATTATCATCACATACAAGTATGTCATTGCTTTGTGCTTTTAAAGGTTGATCTCATCTTGTCATCCATAATATTTTTAGATAAAATTCCAAAATTAGTTTTCATCGCTTTCATAAAATAAGCATATCATTTTGAACACACACAAATATATAAATATAAAGTTCTTCATTTAAACATAAAAAGACTTTATTCATCGGTGAATCATGGGGGTCGCATCATCATTAATGGCTGCCATAATGAATGGTTTGACCTCCTCCTAAATTTAATGCAATAACTTCAACATTAAGAAGATCCTCAACGCTTATCTTAATATGTGTTAAACTAGACACTACAAAGAAAATGTTGATTAAACTACGGCTAAAATTGAAAGTTAGATAATTTTTCAATTTAACGAGTCATGTATGACAATAGACCTTTGATTGAACGTTGTGCTCTAGACGTCATTTAAATTTAACGTGTTTTAAATCATTGCGACCTTTCAAGTGAAAGATGTAGAGAAGCAATGCACACATACAATCTAGGGTTCTCAAAAGACCACAATGATTACCTTAATTTATGAAGGCTTCTAAATAGAAAAATCATGGTCATTAATGATGAGGAAGGGGTGAAGTAAAACATAAACAAGGAAGCTAGTCTAACCGTGATGCAGTTAATAATATGGTTGTCGACATTAATGGTAATGAACCTTCAATTATGCAGAAGGAAATGAGATCTTTTATACAATTTATCACATGTTCCGGACTGAAAGTGTTTCCTAGTGATGAAATTTATTATATCAATAAGAAAACTTTTCCAGATATTGGAGAATATTATGACAATGATTAAAGATAAATATGAAATATAAATCAAAACTGTTAGAACAAGAGGATGAAAATAGTGAAATATAAGGGTGTGAAATATGGCTGGACCGGATATCACTTCTAGTCACGTATTAAATACGATTTCCTAAAAGTTTACTATCTACCCTTATCACAGTAACCGGGTTACAAGATAGAACTTTTGGGATAAAAAGTAGGGGTGAGATCGGTCCGGTCTGGGTCGGGTTTTTGCTAAACCCGGAAATTACCCGGAAGGTCTCGGGTTATGAAAATTAGGGACCGGAACAAAGCCCATTATATTCGGTCCGAGTCGGGTTTTTGGTAGCCCGGGTTCGGTCCGGGTTCGGGTTGGACCGGTTAAAGCCCGGCTGTGAAATGTGTCATTGTTCTTTTATATTTTAACACTTATTTTCAAATAAAATTAATCAAAAATACAAACCGCAAATAATAATACAAATATTAGTCTCCAAAATCATCAACAATTCAATTTTAAAGAAGATAATTATCTTAATATTTTATGTAAGATGTATATATATAAATAATATAGGTTTCATAAAAATATTACGAAATAAATTTTATAAATCAAAAAGTTACTAGAGCTGCTATAAATATATTCTCATGGTCATCATTACGCTAAACAAATTCAACATATTTCTAGTCACTAAAAGTTACTAAATCTTTTTTTATCCACCGTGATTATAATCATACATTAGGAAATATTTTATTTATATTCATATACTATATGAATTTTATATTAAAACTAATTGTTTCGGGTTTTTTCGGTCCGGGCCGGGTTATAGATTTTAAGGCCCGTTAATGATCTCGGAATTTTCGGTTCGGTCCGGGTTTTTTTTAATTCGGGTCGGTTAAAAAGAAAAAACCCGGACCAGGATCATAATTCGGGTCGGCCCAGGGTCAGTTTCCGGGTTTCGGTTCGGTTTTTCCCACCCCTAATAAAAAGAAGGTGTGTGGTGTATTTTAGCTACTGATAAAATAATACCGAACAAGTGATTTGTATATGAAGTGGTCTAAACACTTTATTACTAATACTGCAGATAGAAATAATAGAGTAAGGCAATTAGAGAGATTGACAAAATGAATTTGCCGTGTCTCGTCAATTCAACATGGTCCTCATATTTATAACTAGAGAAGTGTCTCTTTGAAAAGGATTAACCGAAATGATCGAATGCTGAGACGGTTATTAAGCCTTCGATACATTGCACCTTTTCAAAAGAACACAACCATTCCTTTTAATTTAAAAATAAAATGAACCAACATGTGCTGCAGCACTAAATAACTTTTAATACTCCGTATTAAAACTTAGCATTTATAAAGAGCAAATAAGTACAAATGTAATAAAGTAGTATTATCATAATTATTAAGAGACACACGTGCACATGTGTTCTCTTAATTTATATAATAATTATTATTACATTTAAATAACATCATTTGTTTATAAAATGACTAAGGACCATGTAAATTAACAATTGAGCTTTATTTTCAATAAATCTCCAACAATCCTCCTCCATTTATTGAAAATAAATATACTCAGTCCTTGACAAAATAGACCACTTATCAAGACTTATGCATAAATGAAAGTGTCTTAAAGATTGAACTTTCATTTAGTGCAATATTCTTTACAATATTTCAGATCATAATAGTAGACTAAGCTTTGAACTATACAACCACTTTGAAATATTGAAGATATTACACACACAAGTCTTTATATAATTTCACTTAGAAACTTGACACCATTAACAGCCTTGTGTCCATATCCATTCATGAGCTCCAACAAGTAAAGCCTTAAACTTGGTGAATCGGCCGCCATTCTAGCTCACATAGGTAGACCTTTTCAAATTGTGTTCTGCAATCAAACACTTTATCAAAAGATCTATTAAGACATAGTCAACCTCATTACACATTGCAGTCTCAAGCACTAACCTCGGGATGGTTAATTTTCAAAAGTGCTTCAATCAC